AATCTTTTGAAATAAGTTTAGGTTAAACATGTTTGAAAACTAATTCGAATTTGCTTGATACTCATAAGAAAAGAACCGATCATATATTGGAAGGAGAGTCCTGCAAAACCGTATCATGAATAAATTTCTTATCTCTAAGTTTTGATTGTATCAATATACTGACTGAGAAATAGAACGGTTTTAGCTTTAAGATGACTGCGAATCCATTAATTATATGTCTTTTTTATGTCAGATACTTTTATTTTCTTGGAAATTTGATCGCTTTCTGGAGTGTAATGAATGGGATACTATCTGGAACTTGAGTTTTCCTCCTTGTTTTGGAATCCATTTGCATAACACTCCTTTTGTGGGTCTCAAACATTTCTCTGTCCACTGCTTTCATTACTGAGTTATGTCTGTATATGTTTTTCTGTGTGCTCCAAAAAAAGTTCAATACATTTTACAATTACAACGAGACTTCCAGAATTTATCCGCATGTGACTACATATGTAGAAATAAATTTAAAAGAATTATTATCTACATGAAAAATTTTCAATGAAGCAAATTAGCTAATCAATGTTTTTCATTCGTAGCAATCAGGATATGACATTCATGCACAAAATGTAGGATTGAATGTTGCAGGGAGAATAATCTAATTGTTTTTTTATTTAATTCGTTTCGGTCTTCAATATATTTCTCCTTCGACATACATATATATCATATTACGTTTTGTTTGATTTTTTTTATATTCTTGAAATATGTACAGTATTAGATCATATTGTCTATTTCGATTGGTGTTAAGGCTAAGCTTTGTTTTCTTGTTCCTGATATACACAACAGTTTGTTTGCCATAAGTTACAACAGAATTGTCCAAATCAAAGTAAAAAGTTACGAAATCTTGTTATCCTCTTTATCCTCATCTCATCACCTAACTCTTGGTAGTTCTACCACGATTTTAGTCAACTAGTGGTATTTTATACGACATGAGAACAATATCTAACATGCAAAGTTTTTAGCGTTAGTTCAGTTGAGATAAATTGTTTTAGTAATAACCAAGTATCAAAACTATCGACACTATTCGATGATCGATGAAACTGATTTACTTCTTACATAGATCTATTTTGAGTGTGTTGTAGGTTTCATTCAGCCTTCATGTTTTTTTTCATATATATATACATCTATATATTTTTTTTAAGAAAAAGATTTATTTTCTTTTGATACTAGAGAAAATTTTCGATTTTAGTAGCGAATTCTTTAATTCTGTTCATGACTTTGTCGAGAGGATTATTTGATTACGCATTGTTTAGTAGAAGCAATTCTTTTTGTACAGTTTACATCAACTTTTAATCTTAAACAATCATACTTACAACTATTCAAAATTAGTGGCAGTGGTACTTTTTTATGTGAATTAATAGTAGAAAGGACGCTATATTTTTCTGTGCTATGACATCATTCCTCAAGTAATATCATACTAATAAAACTTCGATAACATCTATTTTTCTATCATATATGACGATTACGTTAATGCTTATTTATAAGACAGACTTACAATTTTTTGAATAACTTCTGATGGAAAAGAGATAGGGAGCTGTGACTTTCATCGGTCGACAGAAGAGATAAAGATGCATCGCATAGTAAATTATATGATCTTTTTTTTTGTAAGGTTTTCGAATTGTTACGTGTGTTTTCAAGCCGCCAATGGAAGATCTATTAAATTGCACAATTTTCAGATGCTTGGAATTGATCATTCAAAATTTATAGACATTCTTGTCGATGTTCTGAGTGATCTTTCTAACCATTTCTATAAAGAAAAAACGTTTTCTTGTTATCTCATTTTTTTTATTAAAAGGCCTTTTTTTCCACACATAGGAAATTGATTAAACAACCTTTAAACCATATATTAGTAAAAGTATGATATACTATTCGATGTATCTTTGTTTCTTCTTTCGAACGATGAAAGCTGCAGTTCTCTGTCTTTATTTTATAAAACATTTTTTCAAAAAAATTTAATTCTGTCTTTGAAATAGACATTAAAAATAACCGTCCAGCATAATAAAAAATAAGTGTTATCAAAATTTTATTAGTATGGTATTACTTGAGAAATGATGTCATAGTACAGAAAAATAGAGCCTTGTTTTTACTATCAGTTCATAGAAAGAAAAAGTTTCTTTAAGATTTTGATAAGAAATTTAAGTAACATTGCACTAGTTTTGTATAGTCCTAAGTAGATCGCTGATGAATATCGAAAATGAAAAAAAAGCAAACATTTCTCTGTCTCTCTACAGGGTTTCCCAAAAGTCCTGTCCCGATAAGTTTTTTGAATATGTCCGCCAGATGTCGACCAAACGATCTAAAATTTTTACCAGTGATAGAGGCATATTTAAAGTTTATATCCATAAAGACATGCCTAGAGAGGCCCTTTGTTAAGTATCATTATTGACCTCAACACAAAAATTTTACTTTTTCACAGATAGGAAAAAAAATAATATACAGAGTGGTGCAAAAGTCACTTTGCCGAACAATAAAATTGAATATTTTCATTATGGCTTGAGCAAACGAGCTGATTTTTTTATCAATGCTAGAGAGATGATCAAGCTTTTTATTGATAAAGACATGCCTAGAGAAACCCTTTGGTAAGTATATTGCTTTTTTTCCGATCTGTGAAAAAGTAAAATTTTTGTGTTGAGGTCAATAATGATACTTAACAAAGGGCCTCTCTAGGCATGTCTTTATGGATATAAACTTTAAATATGCCTCTATCACTGGTAAAAATTTTAGATCGTTTGGCCGACATCTGGCGGAGATATTCAAAGAACTTATCGGGACAGGACTTTTGGGACACCCTGTAAAATATAGGGCCTATTTTCAAAGGAATGAGAGAAATATTTAACGAAGTTTTGTAAATTGTTTAATTAGAAAAAAAAATGACTTGAGTTAAAACGTTTTGTTGAGTGTTTCTAATTAATTGAAGTTCAACTTTATGAGTATCTTTTTATAGTTAGAATATTCCAGTCTTTTACATCATTTACAATACAATCAAACTCTTTCATTTTTTCTCAATCCTTGGTTTTCTGTATTATTTGCTCATAAATAAATTTAATCACACAATTTTTTTGTACTATATTTACTTGTTGAAGTAGTGGTATTTTACTTTCAAGTAAATGTGATCTAAATATCATTGATCCATGTAAAAAAGATCTTGTTAATATAGCTAGTAATTTAATCAATTAAAAATATTTTATTATAACAACTTATGCTCAGGATATTCATCGTTTAAGTATTTTCGCACAGTTTGAAATATTAAATTAAAATGAGATTTGTTTTTTTTTTTTTTTCATTAATTATCTTTATTTTATAGAGTTTAGAGGTCTCAAAAGACTGAAGTCAACTCCTTCTAATTTCTTGAAACACGAACTATTAAATTATCAGATATATACAAAAACTCTCCATTCTATGGAGAGAAATCTTCGTTGGTTTGTTTCAGGGATTAATGATTTCGGTATATTTTGCATAATATAATTTTGTTGAAGTTCTGAAATAAGTGGTGTCATTAATTTTAACGAATTACTAGTAAAAATCTCTCAAAACATATTTAAGACTTTCATATTTATCTGATAATATATTGGCAATCGAACCAAAACCATGGTTTTGATTTCAGGCAATATTTGAAACCGCTGAATTTTATTCATATGCCAACATTTATATTTAAGTATTAATTAAGTTCGTTTATATCAAATAATCATACATTAATTGATTATGAATTACAACATATGTTTAATCATAATCAAATATGTTTATTTCATTCTGATTTCAGTATTATGTTAATGCTTACATATGATTGCCATATACTAATTGAACAAAAGTTTGATGAAAATGATTTTAGAATGATTATCAATACCAAAAAGTCTTTTAAAACAACTTTTTTATTCAAGATTTATTTGTAAATAATATACGTTTATTTATTGATAAAAATATTTTAGAAATTGAATTCATATGACATTCATTGACTTATATAATTAACTGTACTTTCACGAAAGTGGATCGATCAACATTAATTGTCAATATCAAATTTAATACATATTATGGAAATATCTACAGGCTCTATTTTTAAAATAAAACCAGAAAAAGTTTAGAAAAAAACGTTCTTATCTGTATATAGGGTTTTTTCCCCATATTATTCATATGTACATTCACCAAATATAATCCAATGTAAATATATATGATGACTATTATACTACAGGCTTCTGTTCTCAATGATACGCAACGTGTTCTTTTTTTCTTTCAAGTTAAGAAAAAAAACAGATTATGTAGTATTACGCTTCATTACACATGCTGTTTATAATCCATATTGATCACTCTATTGTAGACACATGCAGGCTCTCCAAAACTATTACTATTGGAAATAAATCTCTTGAGAACAGACACATTGAAAAGTCTCATGTGTTTTGATTATCGATAGATTATCGTGTAGGACCTTGGCGTTATGTTTTTCAACTCTCCTGTTCTTTAAGTCAGCCTTGAAGTTGAACAACCAATGCATTTCATTTTAGTTTCTTCAATTCAAAAATATTATATTATTATACTGAAAACATTTTCATACTGAATAATCTCTCAGTTAATAATATATATAGGCATTCAACATTTTAACTTCGCATGTTGACACTAACAAGCTTCTCTCTTTCAATCATTATCGACTTGTTGAATAGAGCAAATAAACATGTTTTTTATAGTTCGTCAACTTTTATAAAATATTTTAAAAAAATCAAAAGGCAAAAACTACATGATGAATATCGAAGTAAAAAATAAAAAAAAGGATACAATACGATGATTCAAAGCAGAATAAGCATTTAAAAAGAAATCAAATCAAAAAAATAATTATCTAGATTTCACCAAATACAAAAATATTTCTTTCACGTTAGAACCAATGTAGTTTTTGATCTTTCATTTTAATTATCTATACTGAATTTCTAATAGAAAATTGACGAGCTGTATGTTTGATATGATGATTTATTGCTAATTGTTTAAAGATTTTGGGCTAGAAATAGATGAAAGTAATTTTTTAATTATGATATCTATAAAATGAAAAAATTTCAGTCGAACAAATACTTACCAAGAAGGTTGCGAAATTCGTCGCGGTCAAGGGTGCCATTGAAATTGGTATCAGCATTAAGGAAAGCAGCATCAGTGCCACTAACAACAGCAGATTGTCCCAATAATCCACCATAACCAACACCATAGCCAGCACCAACACCATAGCCAGCACCAACACCATAGCCAGCACCAAGACCACCAGCAACAAGACCACCTTCCCAGCCACTAGCACCACCTGCTACAAGGCCTGATGATTCCCATGATGCTGAACTGAGTCCACCACCAAGAGCAAGACCACCATCAACAACTTCAGCACCTCCAACAACAAGACCAGCACCACCTACTACGCCTGATGAGACACCGAGTGATTCTTGACCTACTGCAACACCACTATAACCAACAAAACCAGGGGCTGTCTATAAAAAGAAAAAGATGGTTATTTGAGAGAAAAAAACAAAAATACTATGATAAACATACGATATCTTCAACAACACCAGCAGCACGAGCTTGTGCAAGAAGTGAAGCAGCGTCAAGAAGATGAGCACCATATGTTTGAACATAAAGAGCTGGGTTAGCTGCAACAACACCAAGGCGGTGGAATTGACGAACAATGCGAGCTGGAGCTTGTTCATATTGAATGATAACATTGCGTGGAGCTGGGTATGGGAGTGGAGCAGCAGCACGTTGGACAAGGGTACGTCGTTTAGCTTGAGGTCCATATGGAACCCAACGTTCGATGACGATGTCACCTAAAATGAATGATTGGGATGATAGAAACATTAGGGAAAAAAAGTAAAGAAACTACTAACGTGGACGTGGTGGAGCAGCTGGAAGACGTTCGATGATGACTGATCGTGGTGGAACTGGGATACCAGGTAAACGACGAACGACAGTTTGAGATGCAATAACTGGTGGTGGTACTGGTGGTCGTTCACGAAGAACAAGTGGGGGTGGTGTTGGAAGAGGTGGAGCTACTTGACGAAGACGAAGTGGTGGTGGAAGAGGTGGTTGAGGTGGTCGCACTTCTTTGATGATGAGTGGCTGAAAGAAAAAATAGAAGACAATTAGATATTATGATATAGATCATGAAAAATGATAAAAAATCACTTACGCCTGGAGCTGGAACTGGTGGTGGTTGAAGGAAGCGAACTCGGATGTTTTGTGTGTATGTTTGAACACCAGTTGGATTTGGACGACGAATGATTTGTGGGTTAGGATCTTGGTAGATACCTTGAGCATCAGCAGCATATTGAACTTGAGTGGTTGCTAATGCTGCTGAATCGACAGCTGCTCCACCAGCAACAAAAGTAGCATCATTAACAAGTCCAGTAGTGCCTGCAACTGATTCGTAACTAGTGACACCACCAGCAAGGCCACCACCAACAAGACCACCACCAACAACGTATGATGCATCGTAACCACCACCAAGAGCAGCACCTGATGCTGCTGATTCAAAAGCTGATGATTCACTCCAACCAGCACCACCACCCAAACCAACACTAGTGCTCCAGCCAGCACCAGCACCGTAACCAGCACCTAATGCTGCGGCATCCCATGATGAACCAGTGACGGCACCAGCACCGAGATTTTGACCTAGAAAAATCAATAATTATGATTAGTAAATACATTCACAATAATTAAACAAATATTAACTTACCAAGGAAGCTACGGAATTCACCGAGATCAACACGGCCATCTTTGTTAACGTCGACTTGGTTGAAGACAGCGTCAGTAGCAGACATGATTGTGAGTGTAGTGTTAATATGAATAGAGTACTTACTGGTAAAAGTGATAAGTGAAGAAAACCTGCTGGGGGATCAATGTATATATAGGCCCAGTCGATCATGCATGGATAGAGATGAAGCAGGTAGGGGTAAGAGAGAAATGATGGTTTATTTTCGCTCGAGCGCTTTTTGAGCTTGCTTGTCAAGGTCGATTTTTTGTACATCAAACAATGGTTAGCTCACGAAAAAAAAGCGATAAGCAAAAAGAAAGAGATAACGTTGGCGAAAAAAAAAAAAAGAATCGAACGATACATTGTGAATACCCAACCACAAGCCTTCAATTATTATTGTCATAACGAAAATACACAGATTGATGGCTTGTGGTCGTTACAGAGGCGGACAGGGATCAATTTTTTTTTTTTCGTTGCTCATGATCGCCGACATAATTGTGGACGAGTATCTATAAGTATATTTTTATCATCGGATTATTTTCGACAAAACAGCACAACATGATAATACGTCAACCATAGGCTACAACAGGCACATATTTTTTTCTCGTCAATTGAATATTGAAAATTTTCCTACGTGGACCCTCTCCTATGACACATCAAAATTTTTTGTTTGTTTTGAGCTAATCACTCGTCTAAATATAGAAATGATGACACTAGTTATGAATATCAGATTTATTTTCATCTAAATCGTTTGAATGAATGGGAAGAATAAATTTCGAAACAATTCTTCCATAAATGATTAAGTACGCTTTTCTTTGATTTGAATCGATTGTCAGTATTACATAATGTTATCAAACTTTGAAAACAAATTTCAGTTAGGTGATCAGATCTTCTTTGTCGAAATATTCAGAAATAAAAGCGTTTTTAATATGGGAAACAGTTTATTGAACTGGATTAGGAGCTACACATTGATAAAAAAAGCTAAAAATCTTTTTATTATAACTGCTAATGATATTAAGCAACAGTATGCATGGTGAGACCATTTCTTTTCATAGCAGCTTCGTTTTTTCAAAAAAGAACCATATGATGATAATAAATCAATTATATTTCGACATAATTATATGTATTGTTTTGTCCTCAAATACATCGAATAATATACATAAAACATTGTTTGTGTCTATTAAACATAAAGGACGATGCACAATATGCGAAAATGATGAAAAGGTTTTCAAAAATTTTGGCCATAATTTAGTCGAAAATGAAAATATCAAAGAAGATATCGAAGTTGACTAATATTTAAAAGATTTTTTTTTTAAACTTTGAACAAAAACTAGGCATTTTTATTTTTTGGTATGATGCTAATACTTTAACAAATATCATATGAAAGTCAATAAATACATAGAGAAAAACAGTTCTTTTTTTGTTACATAACCAGAAATGATACAGCATCTAAACATTCTGTAATGAGAAGAGCCAAAATAAACTAGATGCATCACTTTTTTTTCGACATTTTAAATTATCACCAAACTACAGTATCCCATCAAAAAAAAAATACGACTTCTCACAACTAAATAGTAATCTTTACTGCAACTGAATAAGCTTCTTCTTTTTTTTTTTCGTCTTCAAGGACATATTTGAATAGAATATGAAAAATTAGATCTAATTATAACCTCTTTAGAATGTAATTGGATGACATGGCGAGGTTATGTAAGGTATGCATAATGCAAAAATCGAATGATTCTTTTGCTCTTACCTTTATGTATCCTTCAATAGAATACGAAAAGTTAGTCAGAAGCATATTATTGTGAAATCGTCTGGTTTACCTTTTAAGGAAAGCAAAAAAAAAACAAAAGAATAGGACAGTATCAATAACAGCTAAAAAAAAAAATTTTCATCAGAAATTTTCGGTTTTTTTTTTACTTAAATTTCAGTAAATTTTTACAAGAACATATTTCTAATTTAATATAAAAAAATTTTTATTTGATTGGGATCACAATGCAAGTGTTGTCAAACATGGATTTATCAAATAAGACTAATCAAACACATTTTATCTAGTAACCATAGACACTTTTGTAAACCTTTTATTCAGCATTCTTTTTATTATGAGAATAAACCAAATATCATATCTCATTAATATCACGAGATATTAGCCTTCAAATGTACTCTACTAGTTTTTCTAGGTATTGTTGGATCATGTCGTTTCAATTTCTTCTTTACTGTAATGCTGAGACCATTGAAAAAAAAAATGCACATATTCACTTAGTTGTACGTTATTTTTTTTTTGTTAATATGAAAAAGTAGAAAAAATGGTCCGTTTTATTTGCTTTATTAAAGAGAAAACTCTTATGATATGATATCTGTATCCCTCTACATATATAATTTTTTGAAAATTTGTTCTGTAATCCTTTACAAGAATAATATTGATTGAAATCGTTTGTAATTAAGAGATATATTATTAATTGTACTTGTTGATGCTAATTCCGAATAATCATTTTTTACTACAAAAAAAAAATTAAATTAAGTAAATATGTGTATAATTTTTTCAGGATTTCAGCGTATAAGTAGAAAAAACAATATATAGAGAAACTAATAGAGTACTCGAGAAGGCTAATATCTCGTGATACTAATGAGATATGACACTTAGTTTTATTTGTGAATACAAAATACCTAGAAAGATTTACAAAATTATTTATAAATAACCGAAAAAAAAAACATGTTTGGGTAGTCTTATTCGATAGATTCACGTTGGACAATATTTTCATTTTGATCTCATTCAAATAATATTTTTAACACTGAATTAAAAAAAAATATCCTTGTGAAAAATCACTGAGATCTAAGAAACAAAAAATTTAAATATTTCTGATGAAAATTTGTTTACTTTAGCAATTTTTTCATACTTTCCTAAACTTCGGTTTTTGTTTTCTTTTTTTTTTCTTTAACATGAACAAGTCGATTTTAAAATAAAATATTTCTAATCAACTGTTTGTCTTCTATTGAATGATATATGATGGATTGAGGAAAAAAAAATTTTTTCGATTTTTGTAGTATGCGCACCTTAATTGCAAAAGGAACTGCATAGGCATCAATTGACAAAAAGATTTTCACTGATAATCTAATGCTATTTGCTATTCCTTCATTGAAATTGTATAGACGAAAATTATGTGTTCATATGAATGATGGAAATATTTAGAAAAATTTGGTAATTTATTTAACTAGAAAAACTATGATTAGATTGAAAATGATTTTGTTCAGTTTTACTAATTAATAAAAGTTCATCATTTTGCCTCTTTTTCAAGTCCAGGTCATTCTACTTGATTTATACGATCTATACTTAATAATATTTATAAATTAGTTGTTCTTTGATTTTTTACATCATTTACAATACAATCAAATTCTTTTATCTTATCTTAATCTTTGGTATCTTGTATTACTTGTACATCAATACAAAATTGAAACAATAAATTCAACCATAAAACTTTTTTTGTACTATATTTACTTGCTTAAATAGTACTATTCAATTATCAAATAAACTTAATTCAGATATCATTGAGTCATATGAAAAAGATCTTGTTGATGCTGCTAGTTATTGAACTAATGAACAACATTCAATTATAAGAATTTATAATCCGAATATTCTTTATTTAATTATTGTTAAACAATTTCGATAAAATATTTCTTTTCAATCGACAATATGATGAAACATTAAAACACTAAAAACATTTGTTTTGTTGTTTTTCTATCTTTCATAAAATTAAAATAATTTTTTTTTTTATCAGTTTAAAATAAAACAAAATGTAACGTTCATAGTTATTTTTAAATCAATATTTCATCAAATGTTCGAAAAAAATTAATGATTCATGCAAAAATATCCTTCATCCTTAACATTAAATTCGTTAATATGTTTATTGAAAAACAATATATTTTTTTCTTAATTATCGTCGTGCGCTATTAATTAATTTTCAACAATAATTATTTGCATTTATATTAAATAATCTATCATCGTTATTAATGAAAAAAAAGAAATTGTTTAAAACAACGTTTTATTCAAGATTTAATACTAAATCATATACGTTTATTAATCGATAAAAATATTTTAGAAAATGAATTTCAATTGAGCTCAAATGATATTTATTTACAGATGTAATTAAGTGTAAATTTAAACAAAATAAATTGTTTAATATAGGTTTTCAATATTATATTTAGTATCATTGATAACTTATTTAGAAAAGATCAACGTACACTTTTATAAATATAATCAAGACCAACGTATCAAGAAATATCAATGAGTTTTGATTAAGAGATACGAAAAAAAAAAATGTTGATTTCAGTTTGATTATCATATTCATGAGTCTGGTTGCGGCAAATTAAGCGCATCTTATTGATACATGTACAGGCTGTATTTTAAAAATAGAATCAGAAAAAGTTACGATAAAAAATGATTATATCTTTATATAGGTTTTTTTTAGAAATGTTATTTACATGCGCATATACAAAATAAAATATAATGTAAATATACATGATGACTATTTTCATACTGTCTTCGGTAATTAATCGGACGAAAAGTTATCTCTTCTTTTTTTTGGTTTGATTAAAAAAAAAAATAAAACTAGATAATATGATACTTCATTACACATGCTGTTTATAATATATATTGATTACTCGATTGTAAACCTTGGATATGAAATAGATGATTACTGTCATAATTCAATGTTTTTCGACTATTCTTCACCTTGATGCAGTCACAAATTTCAAACAAGCGCTACATTTCATTTTACTTTCTTCAACCAATCGATAATATATTATTATATTTTTAACATCTTTATACTAAATAACCTTTTAGTTTATAGTAAACAGATGTGTTCAACATTGTAATCTCATATATCTGCACTAATAACCTTCTATCTTTCAATTCTTTATCACTTGTTGAATAGAGCAAAGAAACATATTGGTTTTTTGTTCCTCTAATTTTATATGATATTTAAAAAAATCAAAGGCAAAAACTACATGATGACATCGAAGCAATACAAAAGAAGAAGCGGAAACCTTAAATCATTGAAATATAAATAA